TGCCACATCAAAAAGCTTCAGAAATTTCCATCACGTAAAATTAGATTGGTAATCCAATTAGACCGTGAAATAATTGATACTAAATAAATTGTTCTCTCGGATTGTAGTTGACACTCTTTGAAAATTAGTAATCGTTCAAGTTCAATCAAATACTTGCTAATTTCTCAGCAACCTYGTCCAATCGATTATTGAATTCAATATAAATTCAGACAAATTAATATGAAACTGTAATTGAATATGGCTAACCTTTACCAGGCAAGGAACAAGGCCACGCAGCGTCGTGAGATGGGAATTGATTCTCTGTCTCCTCCGCCTCTCGGCCTCGCTGTGGTTCCTTAACGCCGCAAGTGCTTTCTCCTCCGAAACCCTTTTCTTCGACGGATGAATTGGGGCTTTTACAATCTCCCCCTTCTCACAATTCAACACTAAAGACTGAGATAAAATTGACCCACCACGTTGCACAAGTCCAGAATCAAGGCTCCCTAAACTATGAAAAAACGGGTCGATTGAAGTAGTCGGGTCGTACGAGTAGGCCATGGATTGGAAAATCAGAAAACCCAAAAAAGAAATTGGCACTCGGAAATCGCTTACGAACCAAAGGTCCAAGACAATAGTCCGGGAGGGCGATTCGTGGGGGCGAACCAAAAGGAAAGCTTGTGGAGAGGGAGGCTTCGTTGTACTACACAGAATATGTTGCTGAAGTTCTTGCTGGTAATTGTTGTGGCAATAATGGCGAATTTGATTGCTCGTTTTTTCATACCTTCCATAACGATTTGTGCAAATATAGACGTTCGGAGGGAATCAGAGGGAAAACATCCACATTTTCTTCTTGATAGTCTTGAATTTGAGCATTTCCAAGTCTGGAAGTGAAGTCGAGATTGATTCTGGGAACTGTGTGCTTGGAAAGAACTTGGAAATGCAAGATTTGAGATGGGTTTTTTCGATTAATTCTAGGATGGGATTGAAGAAAGATTGATTTGGATGGATAATGAAAAGGAATTAGAATCTGGTATTGGGCAGAATTTTGCTGAAGATGGGAGAATCGCAGAGGGGGCAATTCTTGTTGGATTCCAGTTGACTGGACCTTCGTAACGATGTAGCCTTGCGGAAGTCAATTATAAGAGCCAAAGCGAGTGGTGTTCGTAAGCAATCATATAGATCGAAAAGACAAAATTAGGCCCCGTTTACCGATACTCAAATGCTAAATTCCAGGGGCTTTTCGTCTTATCACCTTTTTCTTGGAGATATGACATCATAATGCATTTAAGTCTTTGGAAGTAATATAAATAACCCCTCTTTTTTTTCCTTTTCTTTTTTTTTTTGCAAATAATTATAAATAACTTTGGAAGTGAAAATTGACCAACTGTTTGTATTAGCATTTTGTTTATTATTATATTATACTTAATATGTAATTCTTTTAAAGTACGACATTGATAGATAACAATGTTTTTTTTTTTTAGGAAGAGATAACAATGTTTTGAAGTCAAAAAGATAGATAACAATGTTTTGGGTTTTTTGAAATAATGTTTTTTTGTCTTACGCTATGTGCATACATGATATTTCACAATAACCCAAAAAAAAAAAGAAAGAAAGAAAGGTTAATTATCAAAAGGGATAGATAATATTAAATACTACCTCCCCACTAAAAGAAATCCTATTTGTTACCTAATCTAATGATATTTTTGGACTATTTCATGGACAACTCTACAATAATATTCATGACGTCTCATTAAAAATTAATAAAATATACGTAGTGGATAAAGGGACTAAGTCACTTTTCATAATTCTATGATTAGAGATTTAGAATAAACCAACATGTAATGTGGCTAAGGAAAGGGCCAATATAGTTTTTTCCTTGACTCTTCTATGGTTTTTTGTTTTTTGTTTTTTCTTTTTTTTCACACATAAGATGACCTTTAATTAAAAAGAAATACATAAAATCAAATATAAATTGGTTGGTTTCAAAATGGTCAGTTTTAAGATAAAATCGCTCTTAATTGTTTTCCAAATAGATTATCTATTACACAAAATTCACTAAGAAATTAACAAAAATTCACTACAAAATATATATACATATATAAAGTCTTATTTTAATATTTGATTTTACTTCTCTAAGTTTAAAACATATAAATTTAAATTTCATATTTCAAGTCTTGAATTAAGATCAAACTACTAAAAAAAACAAGTTACTTTGTTTAAGACTCAAATTATTCAAATATTGGGTTAATTTGAGTCAAATACTTTTTGTCTTTTTGAGTCGTGGCCTTTGCAAATTTAATCATTCTAGCTTGTGAAAGGTCATTTTAATTTAGTCTCTTGATTAAAGCATTTTTTAAATATTATTCTTTTTTGCACCTAACTATTTTATGAATATATATAAAATATGTATTTATAATTAAATAATATTTATTTGATAGAGTGTTGAAATAACATAAACGCAATTCATTCGATAAAACTTTGCTCTTATCTGAAGAAAGGAAATAATAAGCACTTGAATTTAATCTGAATTATTTAATTAACTATTTGAGAAACAAATACATTAACTCAAATTGGTTTTTTACGTTTCATTTATTTATTATTAACATTTCACTCATAGTTGACAAACTTACGGTCTATTGGTTGACATTTCCATTTATATATTTTTTTTAATAAGAAAAGTATAATTACATTTTGTAACTGTTTTTTATTAGTTACCAATCAAAAGGATAAAATAATATTTCTATTTGTATTTTTTAAAAAAAATTGGAAACAGGAAAAAAAATAATAACTTAATTTTGTTATTTCTAATATTTCTATTCAATTTTGATAACGTTCCTAAAAAATCAGAAAATATAGATATAAATAGTTGTCAAATACTTACGTTACTCTATTATAAGTAAGAAATGAAAACGTTATCAAACTGTGCTTATTGTACCTTTGTTTCTCCCTCATTTTGAAATAAAAAGTGTAATTGTTTATTGTTTCTTGCTCTATCTTTTCTTTGTTTTCTAATTAATTTTAATTAAAAACTAAAATATTCAAAGTCATTGCCTGATTTTTAGTTTTATGGTGTTTAATATATAATTTGTAGGTCAAAATAGGAAAAGTAAGACAATTTCATATAATTTGAAAGACACTTTTTTAATTTAAAAGTTTAATATAATTTTGAAAATATTATTAAAAATTATATTCATAAATTGGAAAGGTTAACAAACCTGACTTAATTTAATAATTAATTTAAAAAATATGATATAAAATAAAGCAATATTTTTATTATAAAAATTGATCACTTGATTATTTTTATAGTATAATATTATAAATGTGAGGTAGAGATTCGAATTTTCTTCTTCTTTCTTTTTTTTTCTGACTACATCTTCTTTAGTTGTAATATAGATGAATGGACCAAAATATAGCCAATAACTCATACTAACCTTATGAACCACCCACATAATATTTTTTAATACTGTCACGTGTTATGAATCATATTAAAATAATACAAAGTCTACTTAGAAAAGTCTTCCAAATAAATTATGCCCCAAAATCACATTAGTATGGTATATATACATCTTTTGAGTTTAATAACATATGGAGTGAAGATTCAAATTTTCAATTTTTTTAAAATTTTTTTTGTTTTGAGAAATGAATAAATAATAGATAATATTTTATTGTTGAAATTTAAGAGGGGCGGAAAAAAAAACCTATAAAGTTGTAAAATGTTAAATATTTTATATATACTTTTTGAATTGCCAAATTTCTGGAAGGAAATACATTAAAATTTTAGTTAAAAAGGAAAAAATCACTAAAAATTGAAAGCTGACTTGGTGGTAGTGGGCCTCTCAAAAGTCATGTAAAACGACAAATAACTGGAAGCAGAAAGGAAACAAACAAACCCAATTATTGTAATTATTTTAAAACGAAAATATTTTAAAATGTTCATATTTTTGTCACTTTGAACAGTGGGTGTTTGGTTTTTTTCTAAAAAAGTATTTCCTTATAACAAATCATGCGTCGTTTATTTGTTTGGAACGTTTTTTGAATAGCAAATCAAGTTGCCTTTTGTTTAATTTTTATTTTTACAAAAATTTAAAGAATATTAAGATTATATCTAAGACCAATTCTAGAACCAAATATCAAAATTTATTTCTAAAACAGCTCTAGAATGATGGGACCTTTTTTATTTTTATTTTTTTGTAATATTGCATATTATTAAATTTATTCTAAAATTATATCATCCACCAAATTATTTCAAAAAATAATGTTTGAAAAATAAGTGAAAAGACGATCTATGAAGTGACAGGTCGTTTAGACCATCTCTTTAACCAGGTCGTTTAGACAATCTCTTTAACCAGGTATTCTAGGTCGTCTCATATAATTATTTTGTACAAGATCTCTTTATCTATACATAGTATTCCCAAAATTTTCTTAATATTTTTTAAAAACTAAAATCAAATTAAACTTAACTAAAAAATATCCAACAAAATCTTAAAACAAACAAAAAAAAATTTATTTAAAAAAAACACACACTTTAAATTAAATTTGACTATAAAAAATCTAAAAAAAAAAACATATCATAAAAAATCCATTAAAAAAATCAAACTTTAGGTTAAGCTTAACTATAAAAGATCTAACAAAATCAACACCAGGCATAAAAGAATCTGATTAAAAGAAATAAACTTTAAATTAAATTCAACTACAAAATCTTTAAAACAGTTAATTAAAATAAAATCAATTTATCTAATTGTATTAAATATTTAAATTTTGAACTAAATTTAATTAAAAAAAATAGATTCGATTGTGGTACCTTAAATTCTAATCAAACGTATGCTTATTCAGTGGCTGCAACCTAATAATGTTATTCATCATCTTCTACACAACAATTACTCACAACTCAGTTTTCCTTCCCCAACTTCTCATTTTCTACTTGTGATATATAGACTTAGTTCTAAGTCTCCACAATAATTGTCCATCATTATTCTTTGCTTTTTCGTTAATATTTAGGAGATGGTATCATTATATTATTATTATTTTTGACAAAAGGTATCATTCTATTTAAAGTTTGTTTTTTACAAAAATAAATGTTTTTGATTTGTTTAATTTTAAGATTTTTTTTTTAGATTTTGTAGTTAAATTTGATTTGATTTTTGTTTTTCAAAGATGATATTGAGAGAGACTCGAACTCACAACCTCTTAGTTGGAGGGATATGTCAATTACCTGAGTATGCTCGCTTTGACAAATAGTATTGCATTGATTCAATGAAAAAAAATATTATATGTTTTAAATATATTTTATTTTGTAATACATAAGTTTAAACCAATTTTCTTGTATTTTGAATTCACAAGTTCAAGTTCAACCAAGCACCTACTGGGGTGGAACGGAGACCGCTTTCCGTGTCCGTCCTCACTCCATTTCATTATCTATGAAATTTCGTGGATTTTGATAGAAACTTGCACTGATTAGGTTTTCTGTTGGGAATTATCATTTTCATTTTTTTTATTTTGATAAAACTTTAGTTTGAAGCTGTCGATCAGACACGATCGCGTGCTGTAGAACTTGTTATTCTAACATTCTCCTTCCCTCTGATTTTTCTTTTTTCTTTTTTATTGAGTTAATTCTTTTACCCAGTTTATAATTTTTAAATTTTTCTTCCTCAAAATTTCATGACTACTTTTGCTCGGCTAATTTTATTTATTTGTTGTTTTTTTATTGAGTTCAATTTTTTCTAACTTGAATCTCTCAATTTTTTCAAAGTAATAATTAGAGGTGTTCAAAGAACCAGATAATCCGACGAACCCAACCCAACTCATAAGGATTGGGTTGGGTTGGGTTGAATCTAACATTGGGTTGGGTTGGGTTGGAAAAATCCCAACCCAATCCGAGATTATGAGTTTCTTTTTCTTTTTTTTTTTAATCTAAACCATTAATTTTAAGTTTCAACTCAATCTTCCCCTCTTGAATCTTTGATTCTCTCTCTTTTCTAACCTTTTCAATTTCATGTCCAATCTCCCCCATCTCTCTATATTGTAATCTTTTAATATTGTTGAATTAGGGCTTATTTCAATTTGGATTTGAACTTTAGATAAACTTTGGATAATGTAAAATTTTAAAATTTGTATTAAATTAGGACTGGTTTCAATTAGGATTTGAATTTGTGCTTAAATTAAGATTTTGGTTTTTCTATATTTTGTTTGGTCCATGTTATAAACAAAACAAAAGTAAATTAATTAATCAATTAAAAAAAAAGAACCCGGCAACCCAACCCGAATTTATTGGGTTGGGTTGGTTGGCCATTGTTTTACAACCCGACAGTTCCCACAAATTTCCAACCCAAAAATTCGGGTTGGTTCCAAAAATACCCCCAACCCGACCCAACCCAACCTAACTTGTGAACACCCCTAGTAATAATATAATTTTTGTGCTGTTAATTTTATTTCATTTTTATTTGTTCACTTTAATTTCCTTTTTTTTCTTTTTTGGTCTTAAAATCAAAATATTGAGTTAATTCTTTTCCAACTTTGGAATATCCAAATTTTGCTTCTCTTTCACGTTTTCTTAATTATTTTTTTATTTTTTTCTCGTATCTCTATACCTATATTGACCCGTATCTCTATCTTCTACCTCTAGTTGGAAAAAAATTGAAAGAGAAAAATAAGAGATAAACATAAGTAGTTGTAGGGATACAAGTATAAATAGAGGTAACGGCAGAGATAAATATAAAAATAAAGATAGAATTAAAAGAGAAATAAACAGTGAAAATTTTGAAATAATAAATAAGGAATCGTATTTGGGAAAAAATTGAAAGAGAAAAGTAAGAAATCAATAAAAAAATTTGAAAATATGTTGCAAATATAAACTATTGCTATCACTACCTTTATTATCACTACTATTATCGTTATTATTGCTATCTCGACCATTATCGTTACCTATGAGATGAAATTAGAAGTATTTTGTCAATATAAATTATCACTATATCGACCTTTATCGTTATTCTCTATCGCTATCATTCTGTTACCGTTATCACTATAACTAAAAGAAATAAGTGAGGGACATAGTAAGTGATTTGTCGCAATAAAATGATGTCACTACGGTCAGAATAATAACTTCTAATAGAATCGAGTGATGCTACCAAATTTATATCATCCTTGCGGATCTTACTCTAAATGATTAAACCACATGGAAATATCCATTTAAAAATAATCATAATTCATGAAACAATAAATTTTAGAATTTTAGGATTTTCCAATTCAAATTATCGATACAAATAAAAGTATTCTTAACGATAAATCGGGAATCTAATCCCCAGAAGTGGCCTGTCAGGTGAACACCTTACTCTCACAGTCTCACTGCATCCCAAATAACATTTCTTAAAATATTCTTAAGACTTCCTTATTTTAAAAACATAATTAAAATATACAATATTAGTAAAAGTTTACCACAATTATTTAATATACTACATATTTATACAGTATACAAAAAACATAATTATACCATTTAAAAAAAAGAAGGTTAAAATATTCTTAAGAAAAAGATAGTTTAAGGAGTGTATTTTCAACTTCAGTTCATATTGATCCATATATTTTTAAAATATTCATTTTGATTCCTCGACTTTCAACTTTGGTTCCTTTTATTTCCTATACTTTCAAAATGATCCTCGTAGTCATTATATTTTTTAAAAAGTACATTTTAGTTATTTAATTATATTTTCAATCTAAATGTTGTAGGGATAACTCATAAGATTAGTTTAGGTGTGTGTAAGTTGTATCGAACATTTACGGATATAAAAAAAAATCAATCTCATTTTTTTATCACGATAGTGTATTCAATATATTAAAATGTAATAATGATTTTTTTAGTATAACATGTAGGATGTGGGGATTCGAACTCACGATTTTTAAATCGAATACAATAATTAAATTCTAATTGACATAGGTAACCATAACTTTATATCAAACGATTTTTATTATGTATAAATTTTGTGTTAAAAGATTGTGAATAGAGATCAAAATAATTAATTTAAAAAAATACACTGACCAATGTACATATTTTAAAATAAACTAAAGTTAGAAATTGGTAGGTACGGAAACAAAAATTAACCGAAGCGATAAATACATATACTAAAATAATATTTAAAAAAGAATGTTATCTTTATCAAGGATTCAAGGCCAATGAGGCACGTGCCACGGACCGGCCCGCTAAAGGGTCTCTCCCATTAAACGCAGCAGCTTCGCGGTGTGGGTCGCCTATCGAACCAGAGATTCGCTCCACTGCGGAGTCCGGACTCGGATTATCGATCATTTCGGGAAGTATAATAAAATATTCTCCAGTTTCCTTCTGATTTTCATTCTTTTTGTTTCGAAATTATCCTTCTTCTGCTCCAGATCGTTTCCCAGAGGAGTTCGAAGATTAAAGGGTAACGACGACGCTGCAACTTTTCTCAGGTGTGTCCAGTTTCTTAAGCCAACTCTAACAAGTGATTCCATTCCTGTCTTTCATCGAAAACGGAATTTCTTTCAATCTCACTCTTTAAGACGAATGGATGATTCGAATTTTTGCCCCGAGCTGAATTATTCTCCGTCCCGTTGTGGCGTTACTTAGGGTAGTGCATCCTGACATTGTTTGTGTCTTTTTGTGATTGTGGTTCTAGAAATTCCACTGAAAATGGGAAAAAAAGGGAACCGAGGTTTTCTTTCGAACCTATAACGTTTCAACCTGGAGATATTTTTGCCTTTTTAAGATAGCAGAAATATATAGCGTGGGTGTTCTTTTACTTTAGGAACTTATTTAATCTGCATTATTGTAGAGTTGGTGAACGAGTTGTCCTTTTCTTTTTACTACGTAGAGATGAGCTGTTGTGTGTGAATACTCGACAGGTTATGATTTGCAGTGATGTTTATGGTAACTGAAGCAACTGTAAATCCCATGAAACTATGAGTGCTCATAATATATGACAAATTGTGGCTAAGGCTAGATAAGATGTACGTGTACTGCATGAATCATGTGTGTTATATATTATTTTAAGCCTTTGAGAAGGGATTTCCAACCATAGGAAATTGCTCTTTTCTTCAATTCATGAATTGGGATTGGTAGATTCCACAAGTGAACGGACATATCCAATAACGATTCTGATTCATGAATCAAAGTGGAGTGTTACTTTTTCTGAAGGTAGTATAGTACGAACCATTTTTTTTATAATGCCAATTTATTCTTAGAATTTTTGTTTTGAGTGAAGTCCTTAGCATTTCTTGCGGGGCATTCAAAGACTACCTAATTTTGCCAAAACTTGAATTCTATGACATTTGATAACTCTTACCTGTTTTTTAGGGCGGGGGAAGCGGGGTGGGGTTGGTTTACTTTGAAGCTCTATTTGGTGTGGATGCTAAATGCTGGTGCATGTTTAGATTTCTGAGGGGTGGTAGCATTTGTAGATGATCAAGTGCATCAAAAATAACTCTTAACGTTTGAATTTTTTCATGTTTCAACCTTGCTCTTGATTGAAAGTTTTCACATCTTATACTCTGGAAATGTTTTGAGGGTGGAGTATTACCTTTTGCATGGTCCATGATTCTGAAGATGGGAAGAATACTTTTTTTTTTTTTTGATAGGAAACATAGAAGTATATATTGACAAAAAGGAACAGCCTATGGGTTGGGGATGAGTTAGCCTCCGCCTCACAGAAAACTAATGAATGACCGCATACCAATCATGTGTAAGCATAGTAAGACGGTAGTTATAAGAAAAAACCTTGTGATTTAGACACCAAGTAGAAGCAGTATTTTGTACACAATTACAAAAATAATCAAAAGAACGAGTCCTGTTGTTGAAAACCCGGCTATTTCTTTCTTTCCGTAAACTCCACAGAGTGGCTCTTATTGCACAGCTCCAAAGGATTTTGGCTTTTCCTTTAAAGAAACCACCCTATAGGGCCTCAAGGAGCCAAACTTCCACCCCCTTATATAGCAAAAGTAGCGCACCAATGGTGAAGCACACCAAGTGGTAAGCATTTTTTTGTAGGATCTCGTGGGTGTTGAGGATGGGAAGAATACTACTGACCCAGTTTCAATCTTTTTTGTTGAATGCTCTTTAATCTGTTGTCTAGTCTGGCCAAGTTGGTGAAGTTTCTGTCTCTATGCTGCTATGTTCTTGTCTTTTTCTTCTCCATTTATTTAACAAGATTTATTCTTTCACTCCCGACTTTACCAGTATCAGGCGCCATTGTAAAGATAAAGCAATGGCTGAAGCAAATAATTCTAGTTTGGAATCCCACTCAAATCCTCAAGCTGTGTATCGGTGTAAGAAGTGTCGTAGAATTGTTGCCACGCAAGAGAGTATAGTCACCCACGAAAGAGGAAAAGGTGAATCGTGCTTCAAGTGGAGTAAGAGAAATGGTAGTCCACGGGGAGGGGAGAACAAACCAGCTGATTGCACCTCTATATTTGTTGAACCAATGAAATGGATGGAAACCTGTAAGATTAAGGAACCAGAGCCCCTTTTTTCTTCTTTTCAATGAACTTTGCTCGAAATTGACTCGTTTGTTGTTTTTGATTGACCAGTACAAGACGGCCATGTGGAAGAGAAACTTGTGTGTATCGGATGCAAAGCTCGCTTGGGTTCCTTCAACTGGGCTGGTATGCAGTGCAGCTGCGGAGCTTGGGTTAACCCTGCTTTTCAACTTCATAAAAGCCGATTAGATGAATGCCTAATGTGAATACATTAGAAAGAAAATAAAGGTTACTTGCGATCAGTTATTATGATGCTGCTATTGGTTTTCTGGAGGCTCATGCTTCTTTTCTTTTCCTAGAACTATAAATCTAGCAATTTTAACTTGTTGATTTAGTAGAGTATTGAAAAGTTCAATCCTTGGCATTTTCACAAGTTCGAATTGTTGGATGCTGATATTGGGAAAGGAAATTTTGAAAATTTGAATCCTATATCTTTTGGATGAGAAGTGAATTGCATAGTGAATTTCAAGTCACTTCTAACTCCAACTTTTAAATTTTTTATTTTTACCAAATTGGAAGGTTCTTTTTTTTTTTTTTTTAAGAAGCAATGTATTTTAATGACTGGGCTAAACTCATGTCGATAAAGGTATTATATTATATTTTCACACCGTGTGCGTTAAGTAATTTGGAAAAATCTTCAGAAGAAAAAGGTAAACTGATTTTCGTGATGAATTATAAAATATAAACTTGTGGGGATAATGAATGCTTCAACTCTCTAGGCCGAAAAAACAAGGGTGCATATTGATAAATTATTTTCAATTTTTTTTTTTGGATAAAATTTGAATTTTTTGTTATAAATTATAATAAAACTGTGATTGTATGGTTTGGTTTTATGTTAATATTATGGTACATATTATATTTTTTTTTAGTTTTTTTTTTTAAATTCCATGTACACATTGAAGTTGTTACCTATTAACCTATGCTTTTGAAAATAATGATGACTTATTTTATTTTAAAAAATCAAATCATATACGAACATACTAAATGGGAAAAAAGAAACTTGTAAAAAACAAGAAGCAAATGTATATCCTACTCTCAAAAAAATAAAATAAATAAACGGATATCTATTGAATTTTTATTCTAAAAAATATGAAACAGTTTTGAAAAAGTTCTGAAACAGACATTTGTTTTCTATTTATTTTATTACAACGGAAGTTTCTTCCATGGAATGACTAATCTCATGGACAACCATGACCAAATGACTCAATAAAATTTATCCTATTTTTACAGTAAAATGGTTGGCTGTTCACGGACTAGCTGTACCTGCCGTTTCTTTTCTAAGGTCAATATCAGCAATGCAGTTCATCCAACGATAAACCTAATCCGAATTATAGAGCCATGACACAATCAAATCGGAATGAACAAAATGTTGAATTGAATCGTACTAGTCTCTCCTGGGGTTATTACTCATTTTTGTACTTGCTGTTTTATTTTCCAATTATTTCTTCAATTAAATAAAAGAAGTAGGTGGCCATCGATTTTGTTCCTTGCTCAAATCATTTAAAATATATGTTCAGCATATTTGTTTTAAAAATTTTGAAAACAACATTTATATGTTTTACTTTTCTAATTTTGAATATAAAATTTTAGAATGCAAAATTAAATAACAAATTTGATAAATATATTGTTTCAGGTTATAAACTCAAACAAGTCAAACATAATATATTATAAATGATATAATATTGTAAAATAATAATTATATAAAACCTAAATCTATTATTAAACTTTCGAACAATTTTTTAAATTAAAATTCAATTTCTAAATTTTCTACCACGTACATATTAAAAAATATTGTAATATAAGTTATACAACCTGTTTTTCATTCCATTTTCTGATTTTAATATTGTGTTTTAAATCATCAAATACATCCTTATATTTCTGGGTATTTCGATGTACAATGGTAAATTTTGATTTTCCATTTAGAAGGCCCAATGAACGTGCCCAAGGTCCGATATAATTATTCGGGCCCATAAACGTGCAGTTTATACATTCGACCCATTTTTGAAATTCAGCTCTTCCAATTCCCGCCGCTGATTTCGATCTTTCTCACAGTCACCCCTCACCCGGCACTTGCATATCTCTAGGAAGAGGAACGTTTCTTAGGGTTTGCACTTAGCACAAAACGTTGATATTTTCTTCATCGGTGAAATCTCCCTGCTTATAATTTTCTCATCTTCAGTAAACCTCGAAATTGATGTACTGAATTTGCCTCCAATTTCGTCTCTCCGATGCGTTCCTGCAAGAATTGCGGCAGCAGGTCCCTTTTCCGTGACGATGTCTCCGGCAACCTGATTTGCTCCTCCTGCGCTATTGTTCAGGAATTTGACAACTACGAGGCCCAGCTTTGCGATATCAATGGTCCACAGGGCACATTCGTCCGCGTTGGAACCTCAGATTCAGGTGGCGTTCTGAATTACAAAGACAAGAAAATCTTTGAGGCTCAAAAAATTATTGAAGATGTTACGTTTAGATTAGGATTGACTCCTTCCAAATCCAACGACGTTAGGCTTTTAGTATCGACGATTACAGAAGGTGAGTATGGACTAGGTGGGTGGTTCCCAATTCTCGTTGGTGCTTGTGCTTATGTTTCCATGCGTAAGGATAATATTCCATTACCAATGTCGGAGGTTGCATCGACCATTGAATGTGATATTCATGAACTTGGCAGAATGGTTCTCAGAGTTGTCGATTTTTTGGATTTTAAAGGGCTTGAGTTCCCGGTGTTTAATATTGTGGGGTCATTAGAGCGGGCGGGAAGGAATTCACCGTCTTTCTCAAGAGTAGAAGCAGATACAATGGAGAGAATGGTTAAGCAAGAAATCTTGATGTTACAGTGTGCTATGAAATGGTTCCTGACAACTGGGCGGCAACCACTATCTATGGTGGCTGCTGTGTTGGTTCTAATGTCAGAATTGAATAACGTTGAAGTCAGTATTGACAATGTAGCAATGAAGGTTCATGCCAATGTTTCTACGAGTAAGAAGAGGTACAGGGAACTTTTGCAGGCACTTGTGGAGGTTGGCAAAAAGTTGCCTTGGGGAAAGGTTGTGAAGAATGCACCTTTCGTGATCCAGTATATGGAGTTGAAATCAATGTCAAATGCTGGTGCTAAGGGGAAGAATTCAGAGAATGTGGGGATTGATTTGCAGGACGCAGTAAACGAGTGTTTAAGAAAAGAGTTTGAGTATGGGAGTGAAGTTAATAATTTGGAAGATGATTCTCAGTACTTTGAGTTACAGAGCAAGAGTAGGCTTGATGAATCGAGTTGTGACTATAGGAACAAGCTCAACATTTCACATGAATGTTTATCCTTGATTTATAACAAGTTTTTGAATGAAATGGATCATCTCAGGTAATCGGGTGAGATTGTAGAGGTCTATGGAAGAAAGCAGGGAAGAAAAGCTGATTTTCCCTCCGGTACAGAGTGGTGGGAGGGAAAATCAGAATTAAGCAAAAAGCTTCTATTACAGCAATTATTGGAGATTGATGTAGGGTTGAATGGTATCCCGCCATCATTTGTTTCTAGTTGCAATGCATACAAAAGGAGGAAGGAGAAAATAAATGCTGCCAATATTCGAATTCAGAGGATCATGGTTCCCTCAAATGCTACGAATAGTGATGTAAATACTGGGAAGAAAAGAAGGCGAAAGGGAGCTAATGGCATAGTATGGGAAGATATAATAATGGAAACCCTTCTTCTTCATGGCGTGAAAGAGGAGAAAATTGAGAAGGGTCATTACAATGTCTTGCTGGACTTGCATGTATTCAATTCTTGAAATTCTTAGAGGTTTTCTGCTGTTAAAAATGTATAGAAACGAGTTTATAGGTATGTGTAGTAGGAGATGAAGTGTACAGTTTTCAGCACGATTTTTATTATATTGTCTATAACAGAAAGAGAAGTTATTTCTCGTTTGAATGTGTTGATTGATAAAGATTTGGGCCATCTATATGAACGCAAGAGGAACGTGAGTTTATAACTATAATCATAGCTTGGGAATTCTGGCTGGAAATACATGTAGTTAATTGGACTATCAAGCAACTCCTCCTTGTTTCTAATTGTTGTTCTTTTTTGTTCTGGCGAACCACGTAAAAGGTCAATCAGGATTTCCTTCTGTTCTGCCCTTGCCAGAGGCTCTCTGAACGTGAATGATTCAATACTCTTGTAAATTTATGTCATTGGAAGGATTCTCCTGAAGGTACTTCCCTACTTGTTCTTTTTTTTTTTTTGTCATAACAGCAACTCGATTAGAAACATTGTTCTTACATATTTCACAATTTTAGATAGTATCAAGAGAAATAAAAAAGAAGATTAAAGGGAAAAAATATTGAAGATTAGAGTACTTTTATGCATTTAGTACGGGCACGAGTCATCACCATCTATTCTACGAATTCTGATTTAGCCTCCATCTCTATTTCACAGGAAGAGACTGTCAGACCAACTATTTAGTTCAATCCTTTTTTTCCTCTTCATTTCCCTTCTTTCTTGTTCTCTGTTTCTCTCCCCAATTATTGAGGGAGAGATTATTGACCAACTGAAAAAACAAGTTTCGAATTTTATTTGTAACTCTTTCGAAAAGACAGGAAGAACTCTTACTTATTAATTAGAAACAATGTTCTTTTAACAAGTCAACTTGGAGGGAGGGAATTAGAACTGTTAATATAGGTTCTTCACACTAATTAAGTTTTACTACTTGGGTTATTTTCGAAGAATAGAAAAACAGAAGTTAACATAATACATTTTTTAAACTATTTCATTTAGGGATACAATTAATGTACCTTGTTGGGCTTCTACACCTTTTATATATATTGACATAGTTTTCACTTTATTAAATCAATAGCCCTTTTCGTTATTCAATACCAAAATACACACACAAAAGCAACTCAAAAAGAGATTACATTTGGTCAGCATTATACCCATAGTTTACGCCAGATATACATGGAAAGCAACCATTCACCTGTTCCTTGTCGCCCAGCAGCTTTCTTGCACTATAAGCAGCATTCAAGAACCACTTGCTTGTATATTAAACATACATCAAAGCATCTATATCCGTTATCCACGTATATACATACATCAAATACATTCATGTATGCATATTTGTACATATGGACATCACATGCATCTGATTAAAAAGGGTACAAAGAGAGGGTTGAATTTTTTTCTCGTAAAAAAGAGACAGACGTACGCAATGGAAATGCAATACACAATTTACATATGATGATATGATAGATTGATGACTTTGTTTTCCTTTAATTAAAGAAATTGCATTGAAGAAGATGTGGTGATGGTATAATTAATGGTCGTGCTGACGATTGTATGTATTAATTCTTGAATTTAGAACTTCTGCAGCGAAGACTTGTTAAAATGGAGTCTTTAACTAATGATATATATATATATATATATATTTTATGTATTTGCAGGTGTTGACCATGGCAATTGTTTCAAGTAACTGCCATGCATTTTCTATCATTGTTTCCCAGAGAGAGAAAGCGAGGCCGGCTTGTAATGCATATAAATCGACCGTTGCTTCTCTTCATCTTCCTTATAGACTTGTTTTGTTCTCTCTTTAACCGAGATAGCTTCTTCGCGCCCCTCTTCTATTGCTATACTGACATGACGGTAAATCTCTCTCTCTTGCAGTATACTGTTATTTTGCTGTGTTTGGAGATTACAAATTAACAAATATCTCAAAGCCTCATTACACTCTGGGCAAAATTTCGGCAGCTTTTTTATATATATAATCTTTCAATTCTAAAAAATAAAGGAAGAAAAATAGAGAAAATTACAAAATCTGAAGTATTTCATATATATGTTTTGAATTATGATAAATTAAATTAAGATGAAGGCAATTGCCCCTCCTTCATGGTCACACATATGTCAGTGTGTCAGTTCACTTGGTAACTTGCAAATTTAGTATTTCTTGGACCATAGCTGCCTGTACTGTGTGTATTTTCAACAACAGTATCGGAAAATAGAAGATTCCCCGTTTGTTCTTTGGGATGTTGGGTATGTCGGGTTCGATTCCTTTACGAGTTTTTGTTGGTTGGGTTGTTTTCTATAGGACAAAGAAACCTATTTTTTAGCTAATAATAAAGAATCCGACAGCCCATATCCATCTGCCACTTTTTGGATGAGCATGTTCTTTTCTGAGTGAAAAGAATCCGACAGTCCACAAAAATTTGAGAATGTCTTCTAATAGAACACGTTTAAGTTTTGCAAGGAAAAAAATCCTCTCTCCAGCCTAATCTTGTCGGAATCTATTCAGCATGAGAGTTTCAGCTGGTATAAGATGTAGCCTGTAGCGTTGTGATAGTTGATACTATGGTGTTCAATATCCCTCCTCTTGTTGTGAGCTTCACAGTATTCAGTGAGATCCATTCTTGTAAGAAAGTAAGAACGGTATAAAAAATAAAATTGAAAAATAATAATTATAATTTATAACAACCAATCCTTTTATTAAGAAAAAGGTGATGTTGGTTTTCGATATATTATTGTGTTAAAGATGACCTTTCCTTGTATAGGTGTGTTTCCCATTATTTTGTGAGAACTATGCTTGGGAGAGAGAGAGAGATATTTTGGCTTTCTGGTTTCTATATCAATCAATGATGTGATACCTTCTAAATAACAAATTAGTTTTGACTAACACACCAGTAGGAATAAGTCATGGTTTATCATCTAAAGTGTCACTTTTTAGTTTTTCTATGCAATTAGTTATATTATATACACAACAATGAGAATTTTCTACAATTTCATACATTTTTAATTCTCTTGGTTTCATCAAAATAATGCACCATATCTAGAATTAGATAAAAACTTCTGGTTGTTGCTGTTTAATTTAAATAACTATTCTAGGCTTGTTAATATTCACTTACTTCTTTATATATATAAAGGTGAAAAATAAACTTAAAACACAGGACCCCACATATCAGATACCTGTTCTTGGTTAGGAAGTTCTCAAACTCATCTTGGTTATCTTAGTGGAAGGAATTGAGAATGAAGGGTTATTTATTTAATTAGTGTCTAGTCAACCTTTTAGTTTTTGGCCGCATTTATACTTTATACATATGACATATTGGGATTTGATATATTTCATCTTAATTATTGCACTTTCAATTTATCTCAGATAACAGAGATGAGAGTTCACATGGACTGCCGGGGATGTGAAAAACAAATAAGGAAAGCTCTAGAAAATCTAGAAGGTACGTATTCAAAACTTAAGTAAATTTCTGTAATTCTAAACAATGGTATATTCAAAGTAGAAAATTTCAATTCCTTGGAATGATATATATTGTCGAGATATGTAAAGTATTGAAATCTTATATTATATACATATATGAATGATCAGGTGTGGACGATGTGATAATAGATTTGAGCATGCAGAAGGTGACTGTGATGGGATGGGCGGAGCAGAAGAAGGTTCTGAAGGCAGTGCGGCGGAATGGGCGGACGGCGGAGCTGTGGCCGTACCCTTATAACCCTCAATATCACGGTTTCATCCACCATTATCAATACCTTAACTCTCCTCAGCATCAGCCTCAAACTAAACCAGTCGTCACCTACAATTCACTGCCTTCCTCTTCATCACGCAAGCACAAGCTGACACAGGAGTATGATAGCAGCCACCACGACGCCAGCAGCAGCGGACTCGCTGCAGATTATGGCTATTATTACGAGACACCACCCTTTTCAACCATCGATGAAGATGTTGGTGCCATGTTCAGTGATGAGAACCCCCATTCTTGTTCTATTATGTGACAGCAGGGGAGCTATCCAGGCATTATGTGTAATGTGTATAATATATATGTATGATCAAACTTTTGTATTGTGTATATATGTAAATCAGCGAGGCAAGTGTTTAAATAGTCTTTAGTACATCGTTTTGTTCAGTAATGAAAACTCTCTGTTGGCTTCAATATTTTGGAAAGTTGTCTTGAAATTCTTTATTATCTTCACTGGTCCCGAATTCCAATTTCGATTGGTTGAGAAAATATGAAAACACATCTCATTTTTACTTTTTTAAGTACAATAGGGGAGATTCGAACCTACAATATTTTGATAAGAAATAGATATCTTAACTAATAGATCTATATTTAAATTGACATTATATTAATTTTTTTAAAAATTTATCATTATAAAAGTAACAAGTCGAGGACAATGTTATCTTTTTATAGTAAAAATTAAAAAGTTGAGGCCTAAATTCACTTGGAACCGCAGATAAAAATAATTATTAGAATTTAGAATTCAGGGATTAAGATAAATATTTTCAGTTAATATCACTAAGAGGAGAAACAAAACATTCATAGAAATAACATAAAACAAAAATAAATATGTATTATAAAATATAATTGAAAATTTGAAATTTTATAGCATAATTTGAAATAAAGTCAAATTGAAATGTAACCTAGAAAATACTTAGAAAAACTTTTCAACATGGACCTAGTTCAACGTGGTTCAATTCCATTCCATTTTGTCGTACGAAAAAACATTTGAGGAAAAAAAAGAAAAAGAAATCGAGAGATTTTAAAAGTGCATGTTATTAATTTTAAATTTCTGAAAACAAGCCTTGGAAGAACTTAACCGTATAATAGGGGTGTATAAAATACATGTCGACGCGTTGTATTGTATTGTAGTGCGTCGTGTTGGTTATTTTGTTTGTATCGGCGATTTTTGGTTTGCTGAGTGAAACAGGTGTAAGGTTTTGGACCATAAGCATATGGAGGTGCTCCATCGCCTCTTTCTCCCCGCCTCTTCGTCTTCTGGTTGCAGCGCAGCGCAGGACATGGGCAAGTTATGGCTTAATCTTCCAAGACAATAACACGTTATGGCTTCTTGTTGACTCCACTTGGACATTCCGCAACAATCTCACTCCTCTCTCTCTCTCTCTCTCTCTCTCTCTCTCTATATATATATATATATATGGCATTGGCGCCTTTCATCCACGCGCGCTGTTGCTGCAACTACAACCCCATTTTTGGCACTCCAAGAAGCGGTGCCTCTCGTGGACCTCAAGGGACGTCGTCGTTTTCTTCTTCTTCTTCTTCTTCCTCCTCCTCCTCCTCTCCCTGCTGTTCCTCATCTGGTACTTCTCGCGGTCTCTTTTTCTTCAGATTAAATTTTGGATTCGAGAATTTTAGTCCCTGTCGGTGATTAGTAGGAAGATGAATTTTGTTTTCCGAATTGGTCTAAACGCGAAGACGACGACAATCTGGATGGGTTTTCTGGTTTTGCTATCTTGCTGGGTGAACAAAATGTTTCGAATATCCCGTACCATTTAAACTCGTGAGCTCTTCGTTCGAGATTTTCAATCTCATTCGTGTAATTGTGGGTTCTGGTCACGAAGCTATATTTTTGTAAAGGGAAAGTGAAATAAAATAGACTTTTCAATGGCATGGAGATGTTATGCAAACCTTGCTGGATGAGGAGAAATGCATCTATCGTCTACGAGATTGCACGTATTATGGACTATGAAATTAGATTCGACAATTTGTGGTGTCTATGTTCCCTAATGGTTAAGCTCGTGGCTTTTATTTTTTTATTTTAATTACACTTTTTATTCATTGATGAGAAAGTGAAGGTCATGTTTATATCAAGCATCTTTAGCTGTTAACATAAATGCACTACTGTAATTTTGGTGTCTATGTTCCCTATTTTATCCCAGTGGGAAGCACATTTCAATCCAAGGCCACATCACACTAGAAACTTATTTTGTAGGAAGGCCAAGCTAGAACCTTGAATACTTTTGCTTGTTTTGGAAGTATCTGCTCTTAGAACCAACAATATTACTTATTCCCGACTCCAATGAACTCGAAGTTTGTAATGTACAGCAGTTTCCAAAATTCTCTCAAATTTTTCTATGCTTATTATTTGTTTTTGGATGCTAGATCTATTTTCTTCTATTTTGGTTTGTTATTTTGGTTTGAGCTGGTTACTAACTTCTCTAACTTTTCTTCTTTTTCGTGTCTTTGATGGGCCTCAACAAAACTTATGCATTGCAGACTTAAATCACAGTGGGAGATTACCTGGCCTTGGACCTCAAGCTATGAGTACTTCGACCCATGGAACGTTTTCTTCATCAAGGAGCATTGGAAATGTGAGAAACGAGCCAGATCACCTTCTTGTCCTTGTTCATGGCATCATGGCTAGGTATCCTTTGGTTAAACATTATGCTTGCTAGTTACCAGATTAGTGAGTAAGAAAAACAAGATTAAAAGGGAGTCATATTTCTTATGTTCTATGGCTGAGTTCTTGTTGTTTTTGGAAATAACTTTTGGATTATTAGCGTAAAGGTCGCCCAGTATTTTTACCTATAAATGTTTCATTTATCATGCAGCCCACGAGATTGGACTTACTTTGAAGCAGAGTTAAAAAGGCGTCTGGGAAGAAACTTCTTGATATATGGTATGGTTTATTTTTCATATGACTAGATGTCACCATGCATGCTTAATGAAATATCAAACATTGGATTATAAGCATGTACATGTTATAATGTATTTAAAATGCAGGTGCATCAACATGAGTGTAAAATGTTATGACTTTGGATTTATAGTTAGAAAGTAAGAGATGGATTTATGAGAGATGTACTCGAGATCTCGGATAATATCGGTTTTGTTGGAGACAATTTTGTAATTCTTTTCTTTCAAAGTAGGTTCACTGTTTGTTTGTTTCATCCATCAATGAAATGTTGTTCCTTATAGAAGAAATATATAGTTGTTCTTACCCATTTGATACTTATTAATAGGATCAGGATGCAAATTTTTGGCCCTATTTGATGTCCAATGAAGTTGTGGTGTGGGTGAGTGGAGGAGGAGAAAGGTCCTTATCATTAAAATTAATCTGTAGAAAGGCCATCAAGGTTGACTGGATTTTTTTTAGATCAAATCTTGTTGAGAAAGATCTAGGTGCGAAGTGGAGAAAAAGGATAATATAGATGTGTTTCTTCAGTCAATCTAGTGGCCGATTGGCTTGGTCATTTGATTGATAAAAGTCTAGAGTTGAAGTTTTTTGAAGGATTTATGAGGGTAGAAGATAAGAATCACTTTCCTACATCTAGTTTGTTAGAAAAGCTCTACAATTGCTTCAATCTCCTTGAGGTCTTTGAACTCTCCTTAGGGTGTAAAATCAAAATGTTTAAATCAATGTTGGCAGGCTTAATTAAATATTCAAGCTGATGTGCTAGACTAGTTGTAGCTCTCTATTGTGCTGAATGATTTTTGCTTTTCAATTACCTTGGGTTTCTCATGGTGGCAACCCTCTCGCGCAATTTTAGGAATTACTGAATAGATCTCTAGTCGACCACTGAAAAGGAAAATGGCTCTCCTTCCCCAATGAAAGAGATCAACTCTGTTGAAGGTTTTTCTTAATGTTTATAGTTATCATTTGTCTCTGTTCTATATTTCAGTTAAATGTGTTTGTGGGCTGTGTATGTATGAGTTCTTCTGTAAAGGTGTTGGTTATACTGGAGGGTGCTACCTTCTGCACTGGAAGTTCGTCTCCAGTGCCTTCTCCAAGGGCTTGGTGTTGGTAATATTAGGAGCTAAAACACGACCCTTCGATGTATGTATAATGAGTTAAGCCTTTAAATATGCCCATCAATAATAGCCAGTCAAACAACAGTTGATGGATGCTCAACTTTGGAATAAAAATTAAACAAGCCCAAAATAAATAAACCCTATAAATACCTTTGCAAAAAAAAAAAAAAAAACCTTATAAATAAGGGCCAATTTAAACCATCATGGGTTGGCCTAGTGGTCAATAAGGGTCAATGTAAATAGTAGAGGTTTCGAGAGAATAGGGTCAATGTAAATAGTAAAGGGCTTGGAGAGAATGAGTTCATGGTGGTTGTTCTACCTAGGATTTAATATCCTACAAGTTTCCTTGAAAACCAAATGTAAAGGATCATCTGTCTTGTGAGAAATAATAAATAAATAAATAAAACCCTAAAAATACTTTCACAGCTATCATCACTTATGATGGATGAGGTATGAGGTTAAAGTTCAGGAAGATAAATGTTTCATTCTCATTATTCTTGAAAAGAGCTTCCCTAGGTTATATTTCCGGACATTTGAGTACAATCATAAATATATTGACAGAGTGTTGGTTACTGGTTATTTGTGCTGAAATCTTCTCTTTGGAGGGCTTTTTGCGACTGAAATAGAAGTGTGGGAATGCTTGATAACACCTCTCCTGGCTTAAGTCCAGATTTGGGAGTATGGAATTTGGAAGCATGGTTATTTTTCCTTTTTCGTGTAAATCTCTTCCTCATTCTTTAGAGTTTCCCTTGATCTCAGAATCAATACTTATGATTGAAGACATTCATCAATACTAGTGTCCAGCAAGCAATAATGTATTGGGGTGTCTTATGCATGTTGGACATGAACCTATCACCAGAAATACTGTTCGTGCATCAGGACAATGAATAAAATAATTAATATCAGAGCTTTATCATGCAAATGTTTTTCTTTAGTCTTAATGAAATGGAGTTAGAATGCTTATCTTATATTTTAGTTTATCTTCACGTGTTTGCAGCAAGTTCCTCAAATACTTTCACCAAAACTTTCACTGGAATTGATGGAGCGGGAAAAAGGTTAGCAGATGAGGTAAGTTTCATCCAGTCGGATATGTATTTCTAGAAATGGTTTCTTGAATTTAGAGTCAATGCATTCTAGCTCATCGGAAGGTACACGTGATCTGTGTGACAAACAGGTCTTGCAAGTGGTACAAAAGACAGAGAGTTTAAAAAGGATTTCTTTTTTGGCTCATTCTCTTGGTGGTTTGTTTGCGAGATATGCTGTTGCTGTCCTTTATAATAACTCAAATACCTTGTGTAGCAGCATGCCCAATGATCTTGGCAATTCTTCAAAAAGAGATACAATTGCAGGACTAGAGCCAATCAGTTTCATTACCTTGGCAACTCCTCATTTGGGAGTGAGAGGTAAAAATCAGGTTTGTCTTTGAGAGTATTACTTATATTTATCTCGCTGAATGTGAATTTGGTAATTCTTAATGTAAATACTACCTGGGCCTTTATTGTCCTGACATGCTTACACTTGCAATTTTAAACTCGTGGGATAACTACTTAGTGGTGGTTAACTTTGCTACCATCAATGGTAATTGGATTTATAATCTTATACAGTGATATACTTTACTTGATGGCCCTAAGTTTGTTAATATTTTCCTTTATCAGCTTCCTTTTCTTCTTGGAGTTCCCTTCCTTGAGAAACTGGCTCCACCAATAGCCACTATTTTTGTGGGCCGAACTGGTAGTCAGCTGTTCCTTACCGATGGCAACCCTGATAAACCACCACTTCTCTTAAGAATGGCATCTGATTGTGAAGAAGGGAAATTCATGTAAGTTAGAATACTCATACAGATTATGGAGGCCCCTTGCCCTCTGTTTTTGGTTGGGTGATGCCATGTAATGGTGATTATGGTGTCCTTCTCCCGCTTTTTGCAGATCTGCCCTTGGTGCCTTTCGTTCCCGCATCCTTTATGCCAATGTAGCTTATGATCGTATCCCCTGCATGCCTTATACCTTCTTTTCCTGATATTATGTTGATCCTTTCTTATTTACTTAATTAACCAATGTATTTCCCTTTTAAACACTGAATAGATATGGTTGGTTGGCGCACATCGTCTATAAGGAGAGAGAATGAACTTTTCAAGGTGATTATCCATTTGGTTATCCTTTATTTATTTATTTTTATTTTTTTCCCTTTCTTTTGTGATAACAGGGGAGCTTATACCTAAGGGCATCCACGTCTGCCCTAAGGCCTGGACCCAAGAGACATCTAAAGTTTTTGGTATTAAGTTCACCAGAGGTTTGAACTTGAGATCTCTAAGCTAGTAGCTAGTATGACCAAGAGACCCCGAGACTCCAAGTCCTTGCCAATCGGACTCCATTGGAGGCTTGATCCATTTGGTTATCCTTTTTTCCATTTTATCATAATTAAAAGCAATTATAACTAAGAACATAGAGAAATGAGAAATCTTAAAAGGAGATGGGGTCAAGAATAGATATTAGTGGACTTTAGGTAATTCCAAGCTCTATACTTGAATCTTCTTAGTCGACAAAATGTTGTAAGATATATTTCAGAAGAAAATTTGGTTTGTCCTTCTTGAATCTTTGATTTACACACACACACACACACACACACACATATATTGGCACGTGATGTGGGTAGGAGCAATTTAGAGTTTGGTGGCTCCATCTCAGTTAAATTTAGTTGTTTGAACTAGTATGCTAATATATAATTCACATTCTTGGATGAGGTGGCATATCGTCAGTCCTCTGAGTCCTTTTTTCGTTTCTTTTCTTTCTTTCTTTCTTGTAATTTCTCTCAATTTACTATTTCATAGGCTGTATAGCGTAGGATTTGGAAGGTGTAGGAGTATATAAACGTTGCAAGTGTGTAGAATAGTGTACAAATTATCTTGTAGGAGTATATAAACGTTGCAAGTGTGTAGAATAGTGTACAAATTATCTTTCTGACATCTTATAAAATTCTTGGAAGCCCCCTCGCCGATCTTTGGATGGCTACAAGCATGTTGTAGATGTAGAATATTATCCTCCGGTTTCCTCGGCTGGTTCCCATTTCCCCCCAGAAGCAGCTCAAGCAAAGGAGGCAGCTCAAAAATCACCAACCGTGCATAATACGGTGGATTATCATGAAATCGTAGAAGGTATAGAGCCAACTCCAGCAAGAAGCTAAACGTGATTACTAGATGATTGTTTTCTTGTTCGATGTCAATGGAGTGATGGCCTATCATATCCTTTTCTTTCCAGAGGAGATGATTCGTGGCTTGCAACAGTTGGGATGGAAAAAAGTTGATGTCAGCTTTCATTCCTCATACTGGCCGTTCTTCGCGCATAACAACATCCACGTTCGACTCCGATTGCTCTCTCTTTTTTACTCCCCATTTATTCTGTTGCTTGCTAATTTGAATGTGGTGTTGAATTCAGGTGAAAAACGAATGGCTTTACAATGCCGGTGCAGGTGTTGTTACTCATGTTGCAGACACCCTCAAGCAACAAGAACCGTCTTCATTCGCCACTGCAGCAGCGAGCTTGTAGCAGTGAGCAGTAGAGTTTAATCGTGTTGGAGAATCAGCACAGTACAAAGATGAGTGAATATCGCAGATCGATTACGTTAGTGTTGTTATAGTTTTTAGTACGGAGAAATTAAGGTTAATTCTACATTTTCTTCTACTACAATAATGAACTAATGATGTTGTTTAAGGAAAAACAACATAGACACACTGGTATATCTTAAATCAACTAGTTGATTACCTTTTATTTAGTACTTTTTCCCTGACGACTGCTCTACTTGATATTCTAGTGGTGAATAATTCATTTCTAATTCTTCTCCAGATGTCGAGTCGTTGATTTGTTCTAATGATTCATATTTAGTAATGAGAGAAAATAAAATGGGATTGGGTTGCTATTCAATTCTTACACGTCAGTCGACCTGAAAGAACTCGATATTTATTGATTAGCACCTATCTTGATCGTCGCTAAAAATCAGATAATTGTACTTTTTGAAAAAGTGTAATAAATATTTTGTTGTGAGCTTTCATCTCTTCTAATTTAATAGTAATAAGTAAGAGATGGATTATGGTATGGGTTAGGGTACTTGAGTATTCTTTTTACTTAATTTTTTTTCTGGCAGGCATCTAAGAAAGTTATTTTAAAATTTTAATTAGTATAATTTTGTAATTTTTAATTTTTATAAAATAGTGTAAAAGGCAATGTCCATTCGAAGAGATGACGTTTATCTTTAAATTACTTTAAAATTGAATTTCTGAAAGGGAGAAAAGCTCGGAACTTTTTGGTATTTTACGAAATGAAGTCTTTGTAATTAATTAAAAATTGGTTAATTAAATCATAATTGTAGTTGTCATTGAGAAAAGTTCATTCTTTTAATATTTGCAACGAGTGGAACGAGTCAAATTTAATTTTAAAGTTCTAACTTGATCCGACCTAATAATAAATTTAAATAAATGATAAAATTGACCAAATTGTTTTTTTAGTACTGGTGGAATTGATTTTGGAGTAAAAAATGATATCAAAAGTTGGAGATATTCTATAGTTCCTACCAGCTTGGTTATTCTATTATTGTACCTTATCTTTTGTTGCAATTTAATGACAATTTTTATATTTATGAGAGTAGAAAAACTAAAATAGAATAAGTAAGCCACATATAAACATTTTCAATTAATTCAGTTATAGTTTTTCTTGCCTTTCCCTCTCTCTCTCTCTTTAACCAAAGAGAATTGTTCCATGTTCAAGATATCACACCCATGTGGCTTTGAGAGACTGTCCCATTTATAAGGGCATAAAGTGTGGTTTCATTTTATGAAAGTCCTGTATTCGAACATTTGAATGAGTTTAATATAAAAATTTCTTAAAGTCTTTCGAACTTAATTGGAGTGATTGTGGGGAGAGGATTATAGGTTATTAAAACAAAAAAGAAAAGATATTCTTTGAGGTAAGAAAATCTTTCCCTTAATTTCTCAAATTGGTGTAATCCATCCCTTCATCAAGCTATTTACTAGTTGGTAAGCATCTTCGAAACTTGCATGTGGAAATTAAACCACCTATATATATCCAAATAGATGGGATAAACTTTCCAAAGTCAAGAAAAAGAAAAGAAGTTGGGAGAGAAAATGAAGGCCAAAAAAAGGTAAGTTGTATGCTGAGTCTATCTTTATGCTACGATCCAAATAAGTGAGAGAATTTAGAGACCTATGATATGACACAGCTTGAAAAATCACGTCTTCTTGATTAAACAATAACGCGTGTTTATTTGTCACCATGAACTTAATTTAATTAACTGATAATTGGTATATGTATCTGTCGTAATGAGTTCGAATTCTCTATTTTCATTTATTATACTAAAAAAAATTAATAATAATAAAAAACATCACGTCTTACTTTCCTCACATTCGACTTATATTTCAGATCAATCTCAAGCAATGGAGGACAAAAGTTCCAAAATTTTGGGCCACATGACAATTCCACAGGATAGACATCACCAGTCACCACTGGTTTTCGAGGAAAATAAGGACGAGCCAAGGAGGAAAAAAGAGAACAAAAAACAAACCTCTTATCTCCAAAACAAACTTTCACCAAAAATGGGTGTTCTTTAGGCTGTATAAAAACAGAAACATAGAATGTCTAGTGTTTGTGGAGAGCCCTCGGAAGCAACCTCGGAATTAGGAAAAGAGAGAGGAGAGCACAAAAGAATAAAAAATAAAAAAAAAACAAAGGAATGGCCAAGTGTGGAGTCATTGCCTTAAGCTTTGTGTGCATCTTCTCCCTCATTATTAGCTTTGTTTATTGTGGTGAAGATCGCTTCTTTGTGGAGGGGAAGGTTTATTGCGACACTTGCCGAGCTCAATTCGTTACTCGAGTCAGCGAATACATGAAGGGTAACCAAAAAGAGAGATTTTTTACCGCACATTCTTTATTCTTTCTAATGCTAACTAATAAGCATCTAAATATTATCGTTTCATTTTCATATGCTGCAATAGAATGAGAATGAGATAGAATGAGAATGAGAATAATGAGATTGATTACGGGTGCAGGTGCACAGGTGAAGTTGGAGTGCAGAAACTTGGAGAGCGAGAGCCTAACGTACAGCAACCACGCCACGACAGACGAGACGGGAACATACCGGCTGCTGGTGGACGGCGACCATGAAGAAGAAGCTTGCGAGGTGTCGCTGGTTAAGAGCTCGAGAGCAGACTGCGACGAGATGGATAAGGGAGCGTTTGCAAAACCAAGTGCCATGGTGGGATTGACCCAAAACAATGGACTGTCGAAGCCGGTCCGAGAGGCCAGCCCTCTGGGGTTCCTGAAGAAGACCCCTCTTCCAGAATGTTCCGAGGTTCTCCGAGAACTTGGCTTCACACGCAATGGCAAACTCGCCGATTAAATTGCTCTCCCGTTTACCCTTTCTCCACACCTCTTTCTACTTAATTCTCACTTATAAATAATCATCTGGAAAATACTTGGCTCCTGAAAAGATAATCTTATTCTTGCAACTCAGAGAAAAGAGCAATGAAAAATACAAATTAATTTGAAAAAATACAAATCTTTAATCTATCATCGAGTTAGTATTTTCTTAATCCTCCCTCTCCCACTCTCTTACTTTTCATTTTTTTTCCCTACAAATTATTTGGTCTCCACGTGGTTTTACAAGTTTTAACTGGATTCTTAAATCTTTTTTTACTYTCCCAAGAACTCACCAAGAGTTGTCACGTTAATAAAAAAACATGTTATGTATTTAATATGGGAATGCCTTGTAATAATAGAATATTTTGAATTTGGAAGATTTAAACAAACCAGAATGATAAACTTTAATTACTAAAATTGATTTTTTTTAGTAAATGTTGGGGTGGGATATGGAGTTATRGGTTATATATGCCAATTAATGCTGAGTTATATTCGTTTTCGCAATAACTAAAATTAAAATTAAACTCAAACTACAATTATATCATTGACAGTGTATAAAAACTGGTTCAATAATACAATTCAAAGTAGCTTACTGATAGTCTTCAATACTAATTATAAGTTATTTTTCGTCTAATTATAAAGTTATAAAAAAAACTAAACCAATTATAAAACGAAAATACATTATTCTTCTTGCACCATTATTTTCATCATTCACCTCGACTTTTAAAAGAAAAAAAAAATAAAAATAAAAAAATAAAAATAAAGAACTCGAGGAGAATATGGCGTGTTCATGCTATTATTTTTCAATTTGATAGCTTGCAATAATTAATCATCTTAATTGTATCAAAAAAAAATTAATCATCTTAATTAACATCTATAACTAAACTTAATATAATTGGGGTCTTATCTCATCAATTATGAAGCATGATTTTGACCTAGAGCAATTATTGATGTTCGATCGGGTGAACGATCAGATCAGATGATCATATTCTTAAAACTTAAAAGGCCTTTCTTTTTTAGGAAAAAAAATTAATATAAGTTAAAAACTAATATCAGATTAATCAACTATAAAGTTTAAACACAGTCTGTATTTGTACAAAACTAACGCCATCAAAAAACATGTTTTTCTTTTCAATTTTTTCTTCTTCTCAATCATATCGAAATTCTTAACAGAAAATGAAGGAAAGGAAAA